GATGGCGCAGCAGCCCAGAAGAAAAAAAAAATGTAGAGTTCAGATCTGTAGCCGATCTCGAAGAAGAATCAAGGACACTCAAGAACCTCCCAAATACTGTTAGAGAGTTCTTGAACCAGCAGTAGCAGAGATGACCGAAGAGATACTATTTGTAGATTAGGTCATGACCAGCTCTGATACCATGAGAGAATTTGAGAGAAAAATTTAATTGATTGTATTGTCTTGGAAGGAGCATATACACAGCTTTATATAGAATTACAGAGCTAACTTACAGGGCGATAAAATAGGAAACTAACTTTTCTTAGAAAACTAATTTCTATATCTGTGAGATTCTCCAATTAATATCCCATGATTCTAGGAAACTGACTTATGTATGTTTCCTAAACTGATGGACCTAAAATTATGGAGAATCAATCAGAGAGTCAATCTTCTACTTTCGAACAAATAGATCTGCTTACTGATTGTCAGAGTCAGACCATATGGATATAGTAGAAATAAACTTAAAAGGAAGCTATAAATATAAGCTTTAAAAAGTCCTACTTTTTTCAGACACTCAACAACTTGTTTGGAAGCTTTCAGGAAAGACAAAGGAGTTCAGCTGGGAGAATATGTTTCTTTTTGATGAAGTTCAGGAGGTCAAGAGTAAATTTAAAGATGTGAAGTTCTGTTATGTAAATAGGAACCTGAATATCTTGGCTCATAGTATCACTAAGTTAGCTTGTTCTGTAAATCATAAAGTGTCATGTACACAGGAAGACCTTTTGTACTCTTTTGTCTATAAGAAATGGTATTTATTGTTGTTTTTGACAAAAAGAAGTTCCATGTAGTACTTTTTCCATCACAAAGTGGTAGTCAACTTTTTTATGCTTTCCTTTTTCTTGAAAGACTAGGTTTGAAGCTATATGGACTGGGACCAAGTTTTTCCCATTCCTCATACACTTTAAACACTAAATATTTCAACAGTCATGGTGGTTATGTTGTGGTCTTAGAGTTGCCTAGTTTGCTGGTTGGCTTTTGGGGTTGAGCTTGGTTGTTTTGTATATTGAGGTAGTTTGTTGTAGATTTTCACGTGTGCTCACTATTGACGTTTGAGGGTGTTGATTATTGTTGTTGTCATAGTTTTTTCTGCTTCCCTTGATCCTCATCTGGCTTCTTTTCTTTTTCTTTTTCTTTTTGGGTTATTGGTCTGCAGATCCTGTATCTCTTATATTCCTTTTTTATTTTCTTTTCACTGAATTTTACATTTACCATGACAAATCTTTAGTCTTTAGCATCAAAAAATGTGTATTTTATTCTTCATATTTTCTTGCTGCTGTTAATTTATTCATCATGATGTGCAGGTAAGTCAACCATACTTAGATTGCTGTACAGATTTTTTGACACTCATTCAGGAGCTGTGAGTAATTTATTTCTTTTATTTTTCTTACGTTGGTAAATTATTTGGTACCAACGTCCAATATTGTCACATGTGCAATTTGTATTGTTTGACTTATAGCTTATTTTTTCGTCATATGAATTATATGCTCTGAAGTTAGGCCATTATGTGATGTTGGTCCTGGGCCTCCCGGCTATCTGGGGTAGACTGGAAACAGTCAAAACCTTTGGCATTTCTTTTCCTGCAAAGTGGACGTTCCCAGACTTGAACACTCATTCTGATGCTTGCCAGCTCCAAATTTAATCTTAAACCAAAGTAATGATACTATTTCCCAAATTCCCAACTTTTGACTAAAAGCACAGAGATTAGGCTGTCCTATGCAGTTATTATTTTCAGAATAGAAATGGCTAAGTCTTATGTTTATGGGATATCATATTGTAAATTTGTAATGTTCAAAAAATGGAATTTATCTATGCAGGTATAATTAATGCTGGGGTAGTGCCCATTTAGGGGTGTCAATGGACTGGATTTGGATTGGACCCCATCCAGTCCAAATGTCTTTTGGATGGGTTGGACGGTCCAAAAGATTATATGGACTCAGACCGGTCCAAATATAAATGGCCTGTATATGTAGTGGACCGAATTTGGACAAAACCGATTGGTCTGGTAGTCCAAAGTCATTAAATATGCGAACCACAGTGCTTTTATAAAAACACTCCAAAGTACTTTGAAATATTTTTACAAAATTATTTTTATAAAATAACTTTTGCAAAATGTATTTTCATAAAGTCACTTTTATGGAAGCATTTTTATGAAAGCACTTTTATGGAAGCATTTTTATGAAAGCACTTTTACGAAATTATTTTTATAAAAGCATTTTTACGGAAGTGATTTTGTGAAAGCATTTTTATAAAAGTACTTTCACAAAAGTACCCTTATGAAAGTACTCTTATGAAATTACTTCTATAAAAACACTTTTATGAAAGCACTTTTACAAATGAGCTTTTATAAAAAGTAATTTTATGAAAGTACTTTTGTGAAAGCACCTTTGTAGTACTTTTACAAAAGCACTTTTACGAAAACACTTTTACGAAAGTACTTTTATCAAAGTACTTTTATCAAAGTACTTTTATTAAAGTACTTTTATGAAAGCACTTTTACAAAAGCATTTTTATGAAACTACGTTTACAAAAGCACTTTTATGAAATCTGTTTTATCAAAGTACTTTTGTTCATTTACTTTGGATTTGGATTTGGATTCAATCTGGTCCGTTTGCATTTTAATTGGGCTGGATTGGACCCAATCTGGTCCATTTGCATTTTAATTGGATTGGATGGGATTGTAGCAGGTGTTGTAGTTTTTTTTATATATATGTATTTTGGATTTCTCATGTTATTTTGGTGTTTGACTCAATTTGGATTGAGTTGGACCCAATCCGGCCCATTTGCAATTTAATTGGACTGGATTGGATAGCAGAAGGTGTTGTAGTTTTTTTATATAATTTCTGGATTTCTCATGTATTTTGGTATTTGATTCAATTTGGATTGGATGGACCCAATCTGGTCCATTTGCATTTTATTTGGACTGGTTTGGACTTGGTTTGTATGGATTTGGTCCTGTCCATTTGTAAATGTACCAATATTGGATTGGACTGGATTGGACCAAATCCAGTCCGGTTGACAACCCTATGCCCACTCTCAGGAGGATGCCCCAGAAGGTGGATATTTCAATATCGTTTTTTTATGGTAAAATACTAACATGGAAAGAGAATTTCTCTAAAATAAAAGAAAACCAAAACCTAGACCCTAAAGAGAATCTATGAACATTCATAAGTTTTGGGTGCACTAATCCATCCAAATCATATTGCCCACATCAGCACATTATCTTTAATAATCCTTCTGCTTTCTATCAAATTTTTTCTATTCTTTTTTTTTCCCCTTCCCAAATGCTTTAACAAATGGCAAAAGTAAATACAACTCCAGCTAAGTCAAAAAGCAATTGTATCTTGTGGATGCACCAGCTGCTGTACTTGTCTTCTAAACATACTGCATGATATGAGTAAATGTTTAACATCTGCACTGATGTTGCACATCTAGCACAAGATGGTTAGCTGAAGGCCTCTCCTTTTCAAGTGATTCACTGTGAGAATACTATCAAGTGCCACTAGTCACAGAAAATCCTCCATTCTAGGCAGAATAGGATATCCCAAAAACCATTTTGATTAGAATGCTCTACTTATCTATAATTCTGTTGCAATAGGATTTCACTTTGAAATTACCATTGCTACATTCTTTCCATCATCTAGCATCTGGACATCAGGAGAGACACCCTTCAAGTATGCTTAGTAATTTACAACAAAGTTGTTCCCCCAAGGAGCTATTAATAAGTATTTCCTTGGCAGATAAGAATAGATGGCCAGGATATACGGGATGTGACCCTTGAGAGTCTCCGGAAGTCTATTGGTGTTGTACCACAAGATACTGTAAGTTAACAAGTGAAACAAATTTATGTTTCTTTACTCTTGGTATTTGTTTTCTCGTCACATAAAGTTGCAAACTATTTTGTTATATCTCATAATTTCATGTATGTTTAAACTTTGGTGATTTGGTTTTTAATGGGAAGGTGCTTTTCAATGATACAATATTCCATAACATTCACTATGGCCGTCTATCAGCAACAGAAGAGGAGGTTAGTCCAATGCCATTTAATTTTCATATTTCGAACATTGTAGCCTGACACCCATTCTGATTACTTTTCTAAAATTTAGGTATATAATGCTGCTAGACGTGCAGCCATCCATGAAACTATAATGAATTTTCCCGAGAAATATTCAACTGTGGTTGGAGAACGTGGACTTAAGGTGAGCTATAATGAAAGGAATGATTTGAAACCTGCTATTTTTTTCTTAACTCCTGTCCACAAAGCATGAGAAAGTGATCTATTATATCCTCAAAGAGTGTTCCTGAATACCTCATTTATGATAGAGTTCAAGTTCCTTATTTTACTTTGCTTAATTTTTACTGAGAACTAAATAATTTTTCTTTCTTGTGGTTACCATGATCAAGTGCTAACTATACTAAGGTACATCTATAACAGTATTCAAAGGTGTTCTATAGACACCTTGAAACTGTAGGGTCTACATATGCCAGACACTTGCACCAACTTTGGAATTTATTATGATACCTAATTTTCTTATTTTGGAGGTTTTCCAAGCTGTAGTTAAATAAGATATCATGCGACAAAAAAATCCAATAGGGAATGTATGCTTTAATATCTATCAAAAAAAATCTGGTTTTACTATATTTTGAGTTATCTATGATATGAGTATTATTTATCACTATGTCTCTTGCATGATGTTTGGAGGTTGACATGTCAAACAACTATAGACACCTGATGACTTATCACCAGTATGAGAACCAGTTTGTACATACAGTTTTCTGTCCATTTGATTTGTTGTTACTAGATCTAAATTACAATCCCAATGGAGGGAGGTCTAAGTGTCTAACCCTCCTTCCAATAGTATCTTCCTGCTGCTGGAACTCTAAGAAATGTTATTTTTTATTGATTAGCAACAGAAAATTTATTAATAAAGAGAGAAAAAGTTACAATTTTTAGATAGCCTTGGCTACCCCCAAACAAACTTAGCAAAGAAAAACATCAAATAACAGAAAAAATTTATCTTTTTAGCTTTACAAATTATCCCAGAAACAATGCTCCCTGTTAACCCCTTGCTTTACTAAGTGAGCTGCTAGACAGTTGGCTGATCTTGGGATCCAATGAAAATCCAATTTCATCTCCCGTGAAAGGCTCCTAAACTTTTTGATTTCCTTCTTGAAACACCAAGGAGTCTTCTCATTTCATTTCAGCCAGCTTATGGTTACTTTAGAATCTCCTTCATTTATTTCCTTATCCCTATCTCTGCAGCTTTTTGAATTCCAAAAACCACTGCCTTCGACTTAGCTGTTGTTGAGTCTCTTACTCCAAGCGGTCCTGAGAACAAACCCAAAATTACTCCATTTTCATCCCTTATCATCCCTCCCATTCCAAAAGGACCCGAGTTTCCAAAACTACTTCCATCAAAGTTCAGTTTGAGGAAGCCATTCTCAGGTGGGCCTCAAGCTCTTAGAATATTCTTCTTTGAGGATGATGAAGCTGCAATTGTGCTCCACGTTCTGATTACATCATCGTGAGTAAATTCTGAGAGTAAATTCATTGATTTCACCCAATGTGCTACCTTTAACATTAAAGAAGACAAAGATTTAAAGAAATAGGCACAACGGAACGCCCTTGAAGGATGAATAGACCAGATACAACTATTTCCTTTATTTTCATCTAAGAATACTCCATCAAGAATTTGTAAGAGATTTTATACACAACTCAATTCTGTATTACATTCCTATGGAAGCCCAAGTTCCAACCAAATCCAAAACAGGAGGGAGAGGGAGTTACAAATTCAGAAATAGGGTTTCCTTTGAAAGATGAGAGACAGAAAGAGCAAATAATGATGGGAACAAATCCTTTAAGGGAGCCTCACCCAGCCATAGATCTTCCCAGAATTTAATTTTATTACCTGAGTTGAGATCAAATCTGATGTGAGTAACAAAGTGCAGGAGAACTTTATGAATAGCTTTCCAAGGAGACGCACTAGAAGCCCTGTTGGACACTCCAGCATTCCAACCATTCTTAGAGAGCCCATGAATGCTAACCACCACCTTATGCCACAGTTTATCTGTTTCTTGTGGAAATCTCCGCAACCACTTATCTTAAAGAGACACATTCTTTTCTTTCATTCTTCCTAAATCCAACCCACCACATTCCTTACTTCGACTCACCACTTCCCATCTAATTAGATGATCTTTCTTTTCCTCCCCCGGTTCCCACAGAAAATCCCTCATAATTTTCTCGATCCTCTTTTCAATGGCTTGGGGCATGCTAAATACTGAAAGGAAATATACTGGAAGATTAGCTAAGGTGGATTTGATGAGTGTTATCCTACCCCAAGAGAAATATAATTCCTTTTCAACACTACCAATATCTTTTCAAACCTTTCCACTACCGGGTTCCAGAAAGCCAAGGTTCTAGGATTTGCACCAAGAGGAAGTCCTAAATATTTCAACGGCCAATTAGTTGTCATGCATCCTAATTCCCCTGCCCACAACCCATCCTCTTCTTTCCCCATATTAACACCTGCAATCATACTCTTGTTGAGATTCACCTTGAGGTTCGTCACTTTCTCAAAGAAGCTCACCAACAATTTTAAATTTCTAGCCTCTTGCTCACCCTCATTTTGACAAAAAATAATGATATTATCTGCAAATCGAAGATGAGTTATTGATGCTGTATCTCATGCCTCATTGTGGGAAGTTTTCTCTGTGTCATTTATGTTTTCTAATTTTTAAGAAAATCATTCATTACTCATAAAACATTTGAAGATGAGTTACCTTCCACATTATCTCTTCCAACTCTCCACCCCTTTATTACCCCCATTCTATAAGCTTTAGAAATCAATCTACCAAACATCTCTGCAATGAGAGTGAGAAGAAAAGGGGAGAGTGGATCCCCTTGGGATGGCAAGCACCTGTTTTCTTAGGGATCAAGGCAATAAGAGTTGCACTAATACCCTTGTTGATAATTCCCTTACGAAAACATTTCTCAAACATTTTCATAAGATCTCCTTTCATTGACTCCCAACAATCTTGATAGAAGGCAATGGTGAAACCATTGAGGTAAGTAGCTTGTGCAATTAAGATTTCCCCTTGAATAACTTTGCAATCCTTACACATCACTTGTTTTATTCTCCTATTAAGGAAGAATGCCTATTTGACTTGAGTTTGATTAATATTCATTCTTCTTTTGAAAATATGTGTTTACTATTGCTGTATCATAGGCTGTTGTAAATTTTAGAGTTGCATCTTTGTTTTGTTGTAGTGCCAAAAACCAAATCATCCTTGCACCATATCATATCCTACATCTCCCCACACACCCATCTAAACTTCCCTTAGAAATATATTTGTTTTGTTGTTGTCTTATAATTTTTTTATATCTACTTGAGGTGCATAAGCACTAATTATGTTAATAAGTTCCTCACCTAAAAGAAGTCTAGTTGAATTTTTAGATCTTTATCAATTATTATTGCTAATGCCATTTCTATTTTTTTACTTTTCTCATGTACCATTGTTTATAGCTTAGTTTTCAAGATGCCAAGGCGAGGCTAGGCGACAGGGGGCACCTTGTTGCCTAGTCGCCTAGGTGGGCCCCTAGTTGTCCCCTAGGTGATGAATTTTTTTAAGTAAAAAACATATATCATAGGGTAGTTCCCTAGGTTCCATAATCATATTACCTTAACAATTATCCATAATTTTCATAAGAAAGGTATAAACTTCATGTTAAAGTATAGAAAATCAACTTATTTATAAGTAAAAGAAGAAAGAAAAGAAAATTCAAAAAATATGAACCCCTATTTTGTTACAGGAAGATGTTGAAGAAGATAATGTGTTAGTTAGACAAAATTTTAAGTTCTTCCTTGCTTATTGGTTTAGGTTTTGAAGTCTTTGAAGATAAATATAAGAAAAAGAAGAAATAAATGAAAATATGAACCCCTATTTTGTTATAGGAAGATGTGGAAGAAGATAATGTGTTAATTAGACAAAATTTTAAATGATAAAAAAAAGACAAAATTTTAAGTTCTTCCTTGCTTATTGGTTTAGGTTTTGATGTCTTTGAGGATAAATACAACATTTAACAATGTTTATGTTGCTTGAACCCTAACAAATAAGAAAATAATAAAAAAAATTAGCATATAAACACACAAAATGAATATTTTAGTTTAATAATGTCTATTTTATAATTATACTAAAAGGACTAAGAATATAAAAGCATTTTATACCACAATATACAAAACTGCTTGGTTATTAGGTGAGGTGAACCTTCAAGGGTGCCTCGTTGCCTAGGCATCGCCTTGACAACTATTAAACACATCAATTTATGTAGCTCTTCCCCCTTCCATTTATTTTGTTGTAACCATGCAATGTTAATCCTTTTCCTCTTCATTGTGCTTACTAATTTCGTTGTTTTTATTGTTATGTTTTCTATATTTGAAATAGAAAATTGAATTCTTGTTTCTTGGACTAACTTCTTTACATACTCTCATTCAAAAAATGGAAGAAGCTTTGCCTTTTTTTCACCACAACTTGGTGTTGTTGTGACGTGTTGTTTGCAAGGAATGCCCTAGAACTTGTACAATTCTCACTACACGTTAAGGTGTAGTGCATCACTTTTGGGAATGCCCTAGCATGAGCATGGAATGGCAATTTAGGATCAATGTTCATAAAAATTTGGTGATTTTAACTCAAGACAACTCTTCTCTATTTAGGTTTGGGAACTGGCAATGTATGACAAGCCCACATTGGCTGAGTTAATTTACCTACTTTAATTAAATATCCAATTTAATTTTTCAGATCCGGTGGTTCTAATTACAATGCATCTGATCAGGTTATTTGGCTTTATGTGTATGTGTGTCCAAAATTTTATAAAACAGTTGTTAAGGCCAGCTATGTTGTATTGAGCAGAATATTGGGCAGTCAAGAAGCAACATATCCAAAAAATGAGTCTGGCAGATATGCATATGTTAAGATGGATGAGTGGACAATCGAGAAAGGAATAGGATCAGAAATGAAGTCATTCGAAAGAACGTAGGAATAGCTCCAATAGGTTATAAAATGAGAGAGAGTAGACTAAGATGGTATGTTCAGGTGCATAGAAGACCACCAACAGCACCTGTAAGAAGAACTAATCTGTTGCAATTTGAATCTGAATAGCAACTAGGGTTGCCAACCCCATATAGTTGGGATAAGGCTTGGATGATGATGATGATGATGATGATGATATATATATATATATTTATATATATATAATTTAAAACGTAATAAACTTTTTTTTAATTATTAGTTTTTTCTTTATTATAAATAAATATAAAGCAGACTCCAATTAAATTTGAGTCTGATATGGTATCCCAAAATCCAATCAGATTTCGAATTAGATTCAGATGTCTATGTTCAATAATCATATTAGATTCGAATGTGGCCTGATCCAATCAGAATTCAACCTGACTACAGCTCTATTGAATACAATACTCCACTTTTTTTCCCAGAATTGCCCATGCTCTTCGACGGATACACTTTGGCAGTTGTTGCAGATCTCTTGAAGTGCAACACTTTTCCTATAAACAGTTCTCATTGTAAACATATTAATTTGAAGTTGTTCTTGAAATTGTTATATCCAAGTTATTTCTTTTTTTGAGGTTGAGGATAAAACTTGCAATTTCCAAAGATTGAAGATTCATATAATTATTGAGTTAGGCTACTTGGTTTTATGATAAGATAATTTGTTTCTCACAGTTAAGTGGTGGTGAGAAGCAGCGGGTGGCACTTGCTCGTGCATTCCTGAAAGCCCCAGCCATTCTGTAAGTGATATTTTTACCCATTTTTGTCTTTTTTTTTGCTTTGTTTACAATGTCCTTGAAATGCACTAGTTTTCTTATAGTTGAAAGGAAGTTTCTTGCATCTGCACTCATGGAATCTATAGAGCTGTCATGGTCCTAGTTGAGTTATTTAGAAAAGTACAAATGACTTTGGAATCTTCCATATCACAAATAAGTTTCCTGTCTAAAAGGATTCCCCGTGTTATTCTTCTACCTTATGGTTATTGAACAAAGTTTGGTCCAAAAGCCCTTTTATGAGCAAGTTTTTTTATTAAAAATTTACAACTTTGAACAGCTAAAACTAGTTTGATAAACCACCAATACAAGGTGGGTATAGGGACGATGTGAAGTTGGGGATTAAACATATGACCAAGGTGTCCTACTTAGTGAATAGTTTGAATCTGTCAGATTATCTGTCTATGTTGCTCAAATAGGGTAGGTTATATATGGATTCTCCCAGCTTGACCTGTTTGGGAAACCTTTACCCATATAATACATGTTCAATGCATGTTCTCTTTGTTCTCTTTTCACCAACAAATTGGAGAAAATGAAAGGTCTAAATGTCTAATGATCTGCTTGAGCTTGTTTTTGATAGAGTTACCTTAATGTAGAAACAAAGAAGGATAAAGGAAACTCATTGAAAACTTTATGTATTTTTGTCTTTTTAGACAAAAGGGTATTTTTGATCATTTTGTATGTTGTGTTTAAAGTTTCATAGTAATTGGTTAAGTAGTTCTGAAATTTCTCTATTTCTTTGTTATAGACCCCTATGATGGGCCATCTGGCCACCCTTGTAGTGTCTATATGTGTATGTGTGTGTATGTAAAAAAGGTGGAGATGGATATTGTATGATTTTAAAGGGATCTTTCTGCATATTGTGCTTGTGGTGAGTGATTCCCATTAACCCTATAGTGTTTTTTTTGTTTAACCCTAGAGTGATTTTAGGTGCTTGTGGAGTGATTTTGATTTTCTCTTTTTCTTCTCTATCTTCTCACTAATTTTGCAAAAAGCCCTTGTAATCCTTAAAATCTCTCAAATTCTTCATATAGAGGGCTCATTCATCATTGCTTTAAGATGCCTGTTCGTTTCCTCTTAACTCCTATCTCTTAATAGGAATCTTTTAACTTTAAGAGAAAAATGGTTGATCGTTTCCTCTTATCTCTTATCTCTTAAAGTGCAATCATACAACTTTTTGTTTTTCAATGATACCCCCTAAAAGACAAACAAAAACTCTCATATATGGGGTCAAATGGATATTTGATAATTTTCAGAATTCAGAATTCAGAGCAACATTCTCTGCATTCAGAGTTCAGAGGAAAGAAAAGTTCACCAATACCAATATACCTCTTAATGTAATTATTGCACTTTCAGATGTCAGACTTCAGAGCAAACGAATAGGCCCTAATTATTGTATAATCATTAATGAGATTTATAGTATTGGTTTGCCAAGATATACATGCAAATTTTAATTATTTTACCATTTTCTAGTGTCCCCTAAGCATATCTTGATAGTTTATACTTCACATGAAGTAGTTATATATTAAAATACATGTTTCTTTTGTATTTTTACCTTATTCATTGCATTTTTTTAATAGGTCACAAAACATTAAAGCTTTCATTTATTATAATTTATATATTTGTAGTATTTATTTGAATATCCCTAGTGTATCCATGCATATCTTAATTTTTCCATCATATCCATGTGTATTCGAAGTGTATCTAGATGTGGTATCTTAAAATTGCCTTTTCAACATGTAAAGAGACTGGGCCGAATGGGTCCTAGTATCTTCTCTTGTAATATCTTTTCTTTTATTGTTGGCTAATGGGCCTCTCTTAATGGGCCTGTTATTTCTTTTTGTTTAATCTCTTTATGTTATTCTTGTCATTACTCTAACTTTACTTAATAAAAAAAGGATTAGAGGAGAAATGGAAGATAATTCGATTCTTCTTCTTCTTACTTCTCTTTTCGCCATCTTTTTCTCTTGTGTTGCTGCTCTTACTTCTCTTCTTCCTTTTTCTTCTAATATTCAAATTTACACCTAATATTTGAGGACTGATTTACATCTCAACACACTTGGGAGCTAGCCAGAAACATCATGCCTATAGTAGACAAAATACCATACTATCTACCAGCACTTACAGATTTCTTAACTTACATCTTCAGTCTTCATTCTTCTCTAAAAACATGGTATTATTATCAGTAATTCCGACTGACCTGCTGTATGCACCATAAAACCATCATACTTTTGATTCTGAACACCCCCACTACCAGCCACCATTTCCCTCTTTGTAACTGTCAATTGGAGGGACTATAACCACAAAAACCCTATATCAGCAGAGGTGACCATAAGTAAAACAAGCCAAATTTCATTATCTGAAACCTTAAGAAGAGGATGATTTCCGATTTGTGGGATTGGCAGATAAGAGTTATTTATAAAAGAAAAAGAGAGAGCATGAAGCAAAGAGATGACCACTCAGATTAATGCTCTGATATCATGTTATAAAATATCAGAATACCAACTAAATATTGAAGAAAATCACAGAATTTATAAGAGGAAGAGAGAACAATAGAGAGAATTAGTGTGTGAGAAAAATCTATCTCCATGGTCAACTTCTTTGATTAGGGCCACACTAGCAAATGTACCCATTTACTTCCTCTCCACCTTTTGCATTCCGACAAGGATAGGAAAACAGCTAGAGAAATACGTGAGTGGTTTCTTATGGGAACCAGGGGAGGAAAAAAAGGATCATTTTCTCAAGTGGGAATTGATTAGTAAGCCAAGGGGGTGGCATGAGCAAAAAGGGAAGGATCTTGTGGAATGCAATTCCTTTGGCAATCCTGTGGTCCATTTGGAGGGAGAGAAATATGAGGATTTTTTATCAAAAGCAGCTCCAAGTAGAAAAGTGATAAATTCAGTTGCAGATGACCTGAGAGGGTGGCTGAGTACAAATGTGTTGTTCAAAGGGGATGTGTTGGGTTCTTTTGTGATGGTTGGGCAGTGGGCAGTTATTCTTGTATATCTCTTTTTTTGATTAATGAAAATTTACTTTACCTCTTCAAGAAAAAATGAGCAAGGGGCTCTAGGGTCAGGAAATATTGCTCATAGAAAATGGTTGTGGGGATTTCCCTTTGAAAGGAACAGGTTGTGGCACAAAGTAATTGCAAGCATCCATGGTCTGGGTTGTAATGGTTGGGACGCTAAATTGGCTCATCACTTAACTTCAGCCTCTCCTTGGAAAGCTATTCATGAAGTTTGCCTTACGTTTATTAGTTCCACCGTTATGTTGTTGGAAGAGGGGATAGAATTCCCCCAGCTTTGGATGGGGGAGACACTACTGAAAGATCAATTCCCTTACCTTTATGCCATTTCTGATTTCAAGAACGAAACCATTTCTAATTTGGGTGCGGCTTCCCATTCAGGTATTAACTGGAACCTTGGTTTCAGAAGAGGCCTTTGGGAAAGAGAGTGCAATTTGTTGGTTGATCTTCTTGGAACCTCGTGGACAGTTTTTTTAGACCCAAACCTGGAGGATTCTTGGTTTTGGGTAATTTTCCCAGACGGGCTTCTCTTTTTCCTCTTTTTTTTTTCCTAGACATCTTGCTTCCCCCAACTCCCAAGGGGTGGTTCTCCCAGTGAAAGAAGTATGGAGTAAGCCTATCCCACCAAAAATTCAAGCTTTTTGATGGACTCTTTTCCTTGGTAAGGTAAATGCATGTGATTTGGTGCAGAAAAGGAGGCCTTCCTCCTGCATCTCTCCTCATATGTGTTTCCTTTGTAGGGATAGTAGGGAGTCCCTCTCCCACGTATTGATCTCCTGCTCCTTTGTGCTTCGTATTTGGGAATTTTTCTGTTCTCTCTTTGGTTGCAGGTGGAGCCCTCCCCAAGAGGTGATGGGCATCTTCAATCCTAACTTCTTGAGGCAACAAAAGAAGAGAGGGAGAATAATGTGGAGAGCTACTAAGGCAGCTGTTACTTGGGGAGTGTGGGAGGAAAGGAATAACAAAATTTTTGCTAGAAAAAGTAGAACGTTGGGTTGAAAATTACACCTATGGTAATTCAGATAATGCAAGAAAAGAGAAAAGAGAGAGAGAAAGAAGAAGAAATAAGTTTCGGCAATAGGTTGTGGAAGTAGAAAAGAAGGGAAGAGAGAAAAGAAGAATTCGAAACTCTCTCTCTAGCCCCCTTTCATCACTTTTATTAGTAATTCTAAGTCTGAGTACAATTACTTGGATGCCCTTAATGGGGCGGCCAACACTAAAGAAATAATTAAAGGAAATAAAAGAAGGCTCATAAGGCCCATAACTAAGAAACATAACTTTTAAATACTACTTAAAAAAAATAAAGAACACTAAGGCCCAGTCGGCCCATTCTCACTACACTCCCCCTCAAGATGAGCATTGATGTCAATCATGCCCAGTTTGCTTACATAATGTTGAAGCTTTGCCTTTGGGATTCCCTTAGTTAGAAATTCTGCTAGCTGCTCTTTTGGTGCAATGAAAGGTAGGCACACCTCTCTTGAAGCCACTCTCTCCCGTATAAAGTGTTTGTCTACCTCAATGTGCTTAGTTCTATCATGCTGAATTGGGTTGTGAGCAATGTTAATAGTAGCTTGGTTATCACAATACAACACCAATGGCTCATCACATGAAAGACCCATCTCATTAAGGAGAGATCTAAGCCATAACAACTCAGAAACACCATGGGCCATAGCTCTATACTCTGCCTCAACTGAAGATCTAGCAACCACTGATTGCTTTTTTGCTTCTCCAGGAAACAATATTTCCAGCTACCATAGCACAATATCCTGATGTGGATCTCTTGCCATCCACATTTCCTTCCCAATCAACACCTGTATATGCTTCTACCTTCATGTGTCCATGTTTAGCAAATAATATACCCTTCCCAGGGGTTCCCTTAAGGTAGCATAACACCCTTTTTGCAGCAGCCATATGTGTGTCTTTGGGAGCATGTATGAATTGG